AGCAGAAGAGGCTGGGGATGGAGCTCAAAGAGAGAATGCTTGCCAGGCATGCGCAAGACTCTCGGCACTACTCAAAGAAAAGAGAAAAGAGATAGAACACAAAAGAAAAGAGAGAGAAGGGACCATAGCTTTGCGCAGAGGGAGTATCATAGCCAGTGAGGTTTATCTGAGGCACAACTATAACTCATTGGAAATTCTTCCTGGAAACAGATGTAGTAAATAAAACAAATCAGGCTGGTGCATGCCTGTAGTCCTAGTATTTGAGAGGTATAGGCAGGAAGAATAGGCAAGGCCAGACCCTTTCTCAAACAAACAAAATGAAACAAGACAACAAACTAACCATCAAAAAGATAGCAATTTGGTGATTGCTTAGTTTAGGAGCAAAGGAGAAAGAGGTATCTGGTCAACCTCTAGGTTGTTGCATGAACAAGCAGGTGTTTGTCCTATTTACTTAACAGGGGACAGTGAAGGAGGCAGGAGGTTGGATGTATACCGAGATTTTCCACTCCATTTTGGACATCACAAGGTTGAGATTCCAGATGACATATGACATCATGATGTTGATGAGTGACAACGTCGCATATGTGTCTCTCAGAAGACACATTGCATGTGACATGAGCTGTAGCAGGAAAGGCAGGCTAGGCCACAGCTGAGGTGGTGACAATAGCACCCATCAGTTTATGAGAGTTGAGATCATATTAGCTTAAAGATTGGGGTCACTGAAACATAGATAAGCTGTGAAATTTACCGTGATCAGACAACTCAAAAATGGCACACACGTAATCCCTGCACTCAGGAGTCAGAGGCAGTAGGACTATGAGTTTGAGACCAGCCTGGGCTACTGAGCAAGACCCATTCTCAAAACAATAGCAACAAAAATCTGGGTGTGGTGGTACAAGCTTATAATCCAGGTGCTTGAGGGACTGAGGAGAATTCACAGAAATTTGAGGCCATCTTAGATTACATAGTGAATGCTAGGCTTAGCTGCTATCTCCCGCTTAACCATGATGGGTTTTGTTGTTGTTTGTTGCTGGTATTTTTTTTTTCCTTGGGACAAAGTTTCTCTGTGTAACAGCCCTACCTGTCATCGGACTCACTTTGTAGATCAGGCTGGCATCAAACTCACAAAAATTCCACCCGCCTCTGCCTCCTAATCCTGGGATTAAAGGTGTGCACCCCCACCACCTGGCTATTTCTTTCTTTTCTTCCTTTCTTCCTTTCTTCCTTTCTTCCTTCCTTCCTTCCTTCCTTCCCTTTTCTTTTCTTTTTTATGAGACAAAGTGTCCCCATGTAGGCTTGGCTGTCCTGAACTCACTATGTAGACCAGGCTGGCCTAGAACTCATAAAGATTCACGTGCCTCTGCTTCTTGAGTGCTGGGATGAGAGGCGTGCACCACCATGACAGGCTTTAACCATGCTGTGAGCCCAGCGTGCCAGCAGAGTGGGAATGCCTGGTCTAACCTTTCCTTTCACGTCTAAGTAACCACCATCAAGGACGTCCCAGGCGGCTGTAGGACAGACAAAACAATACTCCAAGTCTCTGGCTCTCATTTCTCCTTTCCCATTAACTGCCCAAGGACAAGGGTTTCAGCTCCATTCCCCACAGCGGATACTATTAGCCTTTAACACCTGCTTGTATCTATTTTCTAGATTTTCGTAGGAAACATACTTAGCATTTGTAGAGGGCACAGGAAACTTGCCAAAGCAGAGACATATTTATTCAGCATTACTGAGTAATATCCATGTGGCTGTGGCTTAAGGAGGCAACCTGTGACATTCCATCAGACGAAGGACCAGAAAGTAGAAAGTATGACCATGTCTGCCCTTTGGTATTTCCTAACCAGCATTTCTTGTCAAGCTATGCCCTGGCCTCACATCAGACACTCCACTACTTAGAACAAAGCAGCCCTTCTTATAGGGAGTGGTCAGAGGTCTTAGGTTAGCTAATTCTTCAAGGAACCTTTGAAGTCCTGTTGCCCACTCGGTGTCTTCCCTGCTCCTGGACATGATGGAGGTGCAGGGGGGGTTTGCAGCACCAAGACCTTCACATTCTGCTACGCAGTGCTAATCAATTGAGGTGAGTGGTTCTCAACTTAGGGGTCATGGCTCCTTTGAGGGTGGAAGGACCCCTTCACAGAGGTCACATGCCAGAAATCTTACATATCAGATAATTACATTACAATTCATAACAGGAGCAAAATGACAGTTGTGAAGTAGCAACAAAAAAATTTTATGGTTGGGGGTCACCACAACATGAGGAACCTTCCTAATGCCATGTAGATCCATGGTATACAGCTCCTGTCTTCGGGCCTGGTGCCTTAACTCACGGAACCATCTTCTCCACCCTTGATACTTAATTTTGAACAAAATTCTCCTATAATAGAAAGAATGAATAGTTTTGATAGAAGTTTTGGGTCAAATAAGTTTTCTTTTCCGATTTTTTCTTTCTTTCTTTCTTTTTTTCTCAAAACGGGTCTTAATAGCAATGTTTAATAATAGTTGGAAATCCCCTACCACTGGAGGTTAGCCCAGAAATGCTGAATCAGCACGTACATTTGATCGGTTCCTTTCTTCTTGTTTACAGTTTGTGTTATTTTTAATTATATGTCTGTATGTCTATGTGTGGGTAACCACATAAGTGTGCAGGTGCCCGCACGGCTGGAAGCACATACATTCACACACACACACACACACACACACACACACACACACAGAGAGAGAGAGAGAGAGAGAGAGAGAGAGAGGCATGCACACACATACACCAAACAAGTTTTGTTTTTAAAAACCCAGAAAAAGGAAAGATGGCTCAGTGGTCAAGGGTACTGGCTGCCCCTCTGGAGGATCTGGGTTCAATTCCCAGCACCCACAAAGCAGCTCCTAACTGTCTGTAACCCCAGTTCCAGGGGATCTGGCACCCTCACACAGACATTAAAAAAAAAACAAAGAAAATAAATAAGTGAATTAAATATGGAACCAAGAACAGAGTACATATAGGGCTATGCTATTCAGAATGAGATATAACTGTACTTCAGCACCATTGTTTTTCAAGTTAGTTATAATTTGGTATTATGTTTCCTGGAGGGGAGGTGGCAGTTCATTCTTCTCTCTCTCTCTGGTCCATAAATGGCTCGCTGAGACAAAACCACACTGTTGCTATGACATCTTTTCTAATCTGTAATTCATTACCACTAGGAAAAGCTATCTCAGGATACAGTCTGCTCCTTGGGGCCCCACAGCAGCCCCCACTTCCATATCTAAGAGTTCTTGGGGTATCTTTGCTGTATTCCAAGCTTCTGTTCCCTACTTGCTTCTACCCCAGGCGTCTGTTGCTTGCACAGTGTTCTGGTTTGGATGTGAAATGTTCCCCCACGGGTTCATGAGTTTGAATACATGATCTCTGTCTGGGGAACAGAGATCTCATCTCTGGGTAGATGATGGAACCTTTAGGAGACGGAGCCTTACTAGAGAAAGTCGGTTACTTGGGGAGGGTCTCGAGGCTCTGTGAGGTGATTGGGATGTGGGCAGAGAGATCATATTTGGGGGACAGAAGGTGGTAGTGTTCACGGCAGGGCTACCTGTAATTCCAGCACTTAGGAAGTTAAGGCAGAAGGATCAAAATGAAATGAGTGTAAGGCTAGCCTGGACAATATAACAAGGCCCTGTCACAAATGCAAAACAAATATACAAAGAAAAGACAAAACAAACAAACAAAAAAAACCCAGAAGGCATGTGATTTATCATGCAAACACAGTAACTCTTTTTTTGTTTGTTTGTTTGTTTGTTTGTTTTTCGAGACAGGGTTTCTCTGTGGTTTTGGAGCCTGTCCTGGAACTAGCTCTTGTAGACCAGGCTGGCCTCGAACTCACAGAGATCCACCTGCCTCTGCCTCCTCTGCTGGGATTAAAGGCGTGCGCCACCACCACCCGGCTCCACAGTAACTCCTGAGAGGACAAAAGGCTGTGCTTACCTTTTTATTTTTGAGACAGGAGCTCACGTAGTCCAGGCTGGCCTTGAACTCCCCAAGTAGTAGATGACCTTGAACTCTTGTTACTCTTGCCTCTACCTCCAAGTGTTGGGGTTACAGGTATGCCCTGCCACCATATCAACTACTCAGCACCATAGGTGCTCCCTGACACAACTGCTTATTTCTATGGTATGCCTGAAGCCTTTTCTGGGATAGCCCTCACTTTTTTTTTAAAAGATGGGGTCATGATATGTTGCCCAGGCTGTCCCAGATCTCATTGATTCTCTTCAATTTCCAGAGTAGCTGGGATTACAAGTAGTTGTTACCACGTCCTGCTTGTTTAGTAATTTGCATAGCATTCATATTCAACAGCAGGATAATCTAAAAGTTCTAAAATAGCTTTCACAACAAAACAACAGCAACCAAAACAACCAAAACCTGTAATCGCAATACTTGGGAGGAGGGTTATAAGTTGAAATTCATCCTGGGCTATGTAGTGAGATCCTGTTTCAAAAGTTAGCAAACAAACAAACAACAAAGCTCAGAGGGCCTCGTTATAAGTAGGAAACACTAGCTAAACAAATCAGCAAAACACTAAACAAAAGAAATCCTGGGGGTGGGAGTGAGGGTAAAGTAAAAGAATGGGGGATCTTTCAGTCTCTCTCTCTCTCTCTCTCTCTCTCTCTCTCTCTCTGTGTGTGTGTGTGTGAGAGAGAGAGAGAGAGAGAGAGAGAGAGGGAGGGAGGGAGAGAGATGGTAAATTTAAAGTGATTTTGAAATGACATTACTTAACCCAGGAAATGGAGTTCAACTTTGAATTCAAGCGCATTTGAAAACCTGGATAAAACGGTATTTCCCCAGGCGTGGGACAGCAGGTCAGCGGCTGAGCTGGAAGCTCCATCTCATGACTGTCTGCCAAGTCATCTCCCTATGAGTCAACCTGGCTTCTGAGTTGGCTTTCTAGACTGTTATTCCAGCACTGTAATGAAGAGCAAAGAGGACTGGGGCTGGGCAGGAACTTGACTCTTGTAGTTCAGTGGGATCCACATGCCTGAAAGTTAGCCACTTCCCAGGACGGATGCCCACCAACCCTCTGCTCACACCAGCTGTGTCTGCCCTATTTAGGTACCCATGCCAGGAAATAAAAAGCAGGTATATGCTTAGCCTTGAGAATCCTAACCTTACACCTAGGGGAATCTCATCATAGCTGAGACTTAGCTAGTTTTCCAAGTTGTGTGCTCTAATATGCCACCTTTAATGGTTCTAATATTAATAGTAGTAACAACTCATGTTTACTGAACGTTTGCCTGTTTATTTTTCCATAATAACGCTATGAGTCTATCATTATCTCCCTGTTTTATTTTAATTTTTTGTTTGAGACAGGGTCTTGTGTGGCCCAGGCTGGATTTAAAATCCGTGGGTAACTGAAGTTGACCTTCAACTCCTGATCTTCCCATCTCCAACTCCCAAGAGCTGCACCGATACGCCCAGCTGACCCTTCTGCCTTATTGGAATAAGTCCCCAGCACCAGGTAAGACAGAGTGGGGTGGAATGAGAGGGCACAGAGAGGTTAAGCAATTGGCCCAGAACTCAGGGACAGATAGTAAACAGCTGAGATTTAACCTCAAGTTGTTTGATGGAGGAACCTGATGTCGTGCTTTCCGTTACAGCTGCAGCTGTCCTCATAATAGTCCCCCCCCCCCCGTGTGTGTGTGTGTGTGTGTGTGTGTGTCATGGAATCGTTAGGCATGATAACGGAGAGTGGTCCCCCAAATGGGCTTGGGAGTGTGGTTTTGTGGCTTTTGTGGATAAGCATGAACTTAGCTCGCAAGAGACTCTCGGCTCAGCCCCCAGCACCAGGTAAGACGGAAGGCGGTAGGAGAGAAGGGTGGGGCTGCGGTGAGGGGTAGAAGTTCCAAGAACCGAAAGACAAATATTACCAGGCATTCAGCACGTGCCAGGCATACTTCTGTTTAGGAATGCGTTAGCTCAGGGAGCTTCCAAAACAGGACCAAACAAGGTCTCCTCCAGAGGTCGCAGCTACGAGCATGGCTGGAGCTCCTACGCCCAGGTAGTAAAACCAAAGTTCAGAGCCAGTGGGCAGGTGAGCCACCATGACAGTTAAGAGTCGTTTCCAAAACCTGGCTTTTCCCAATTTACAGGAAGATACAGACTAGTTTAAGTAACAGTTAAATGCCACACAGTGACTTGGGGACAGGCTAGTCAGGGATCCAAAGTCGGTTCTTATATTGCTTTCACTTTCCCAGCCTTCAGTGGTGTGGCGCAAGGCTCAATTATCCTCCAGACAGACACCGTTTTTTTTTTTTTTTAGCTTCTTTTCAGGGTCCAGGTGGAGCCGGACGCCGCCCCCTGGTGGCAGTGCGAGTCTGCGCTCAGGGCTTGGTAAAGACCTCGCGGCAGCGCCGCTAGCTGATTGGCCCGCAGGGTTTCCAGGCGCTTTGCAAGTCGGCTGATGCTGGTGGTCCTCAGACTGCAGACCTGCCCCTGCCCCTCGGGATTCAAATCCAGACTGGGGCCAGCAAAGCTGGCTTGTGAACCTGAGGAGTTTTCCGTTTCTCTCCCATCTTTGTTGTGGTCGTGAATTCCTCCAGGGCTCAGGATGGCGATTTGACACCAAGGCCAGCAGTACAGCCCGAGGGTGACTGCCCTGCCAGGTCCCCACTTGGTTCTCCTGACAAGTGGGCAGGGATTCAGTCTGTGGAGAGTCCAAGGAAGACTGGACGAGGTAGACGGAATTCTTCCAGGTCGGTCCTCCCTGCCGGATGGTACTGATTGTGTAGGTGTCTACAGCTGCCTGTTGGTCCTGAATCATCGGGACCCGCTGGGCAAAATGTCAGAAAGGCAGCGCCTGTCACCCACCAGCCACAGACTCGGAGACTTGTAAATAGACACCCACGTGTTAATTTTATTGCACTCATAAGTTACCATTTCTGGCCATGTGATGTTTGAGAGTAAAAACATTTTTCACATGTTGGCCGCAATACTCGCACAGCTCTGAAGGCCGCGGTCACCATCTTCCACTCGCTGCCTCAACTTGTTTGGATTTGAGCCGAAAGGTCAGATCCTCCAACCTCATCCGGTGCTATTTCCTCTTAGATAGTTAACCAATGTGCTCGTGGACCAGTGAGGCAGCGGGTGAGGCGTGAAAGACGTGTTGCCGGCTTTCTTAAAGACGCCCCAGGCTAAAGTGGTCCCTGTAAGGCAGCTTTAACAGAGCCCAGCCTTGAGTGACTTACTGTGGACTGGGTCCCACCACAAAGACCCTTAGGGGTCCCTTGTCAGATGTGCCCGTTTTCTGACTGAGGCGGGCTCTGTGGGTCAGCCAGTGATGGAGCTGGGTGTAGGCGGTGTAGCTAGTGATAGCATCTGGCCTGAGCTTCCATGCCCAAAGAGGGGCGACTTGGTCCCTAAGACATCCTGTGATGCAATTGTCCTGAGGGCCAAGAAGTGAGTGCCGGGAGGGTCACCCTGCAAATAACCTAAAGGGAGCAACAGGAGAAATATAAGGCTTCCTTCCTTGCTAGGTGGCCTGTCTGGGGAAAGAGTTCGTACTGAATTTCCAATTGTTTACTGGTCTGTTCCCACAGCTTGTTTCACTTGCCTGTTTAATCCTATCTAGTACCACCTGCCCAGGGGTGGCACCGCAACAGTCATCAATCACCAATATGTCCCCAAGCCAGTCTCAGCTGAAGTTCTCTCTTCATAGGCAATTTTATTTTGGATCGATCTGACAACACAAACAAGCACGAGGTGCCAAGCTGGACGCCGTGAGGATAAAGGAAGTGCTTAAGAGAAGATATTTACTTTATCTTGCATGGAGTGCCAATAATGGGTTCGGAAAGAGCGGATCGTGGGAGTATTCTGGATGCCGGGAAGGTGGCATGAAGGAGAATGATGAATGTCCCGAGGAACCCGTTTTCCAGGCCAGTTCTTGCTTGGCACCACATAGCTATGTCCAATGGGGCAGTTCTGTTTCTAAATGGAGGTTCTGGGGGACTTGAGACACACATTAGCCTGGTACTGAGATGTGACAGGAATACCAGATGTTTCTGGGTCCAGCTACTGGGCTCTTGTGGACTCGGGCATGTGAGCCATGAATGGTGGTGGGCTGTGTGTCTACTAGAGAAGGGAGTCCCGTGGTTTCGGATCATTCTTTGCATCTTTCCGCTGCCAAGTACATGGTTATGATGGTCCCCCAGGGAGTCCTCTCTGGTTTATAGGAAAATTCCGGTCTTTGAGGTCTTTTGGAGAGTGGCAGCTATTCAGAAAGCAGCTGTGGGCATGGAACAGCAAGGAGGCGTTTGTTTACTACTGGGAACTGAAAGGGGACACCCTAGGCCTAGCATAGGCTCACAGGGGCTGCGGCTGGTCGCTTACTTGCTGCATGTATTGGGACTTTTGGAAAGAATTGTGGATAGGTCATGATTCTGGGAGAACCAGGGGGCTATGATCCACTCAATGGATGAGGCGGGATGGGGATGTGGGACAGCCATATGGAGAAGGGTGGAAAGTGCCACCGTACCTAGTGGAAGCCCCCAGCAGTGCCCTCTTTAGAGAGCTTTAAAACCAAGCTGGGTCTCCTTCAGTTACTGAAACAAAGGAGACCTTGCCAAGGTCATTTCAGACCCAAGGGGGCAGTTATACTTTTTGCATTTTTGATTTATTGTAATTTAGTTGGTCTTTGTCCCACCCCCAACAATCTTCTTCTCCTCCTTGTCCTCCTCTTCCTTTTCTTCATTTTTCTTCTCTTTTTTCTGATGAACAGCATTTCACATAGCCCAGATTATAATGAGCTCCACATAGGGCTAAGGTTGAACTTAAACGCCTTTAAAAAAAATATATTTATTTGTATTTTATGTGTATGGGTGTTTTGCCTGCATGTATATCTGTGTACCACATGGGCACTGCCCACAGAAGCCAGAGAGGATGGCAGATCCCCTGGAACTGGAGTTACAGATGATTGTAAGCCTCCATGTGGGCATTAGACCTCAAAGCCTGGGCCTCTAGAAGAGCAACACATAACTCTTAACCTCGGAGCCGTTCCTCCCTCACTCAGACCTTGAACTCTTGATCCTTCAATGCCTTCACCTTCTAAGTGTCAGGATTGTGGCATGAGCTACCATGTCCAATATTATTTATTACATTTGTTTATTGTGTGTGTGTTGTTTATTGTGTGTGTTTGTGTGTGTGTGTGTGTCTGTTTGTCTTTCTGTCTGTCTTGGGGAGGCAGGGACAGAAGGCTGCGTTGGAAGGAGTGACCTCACAGCTATATTGGCTTCCCCTGGACATTCCAGGCACAGTGGCCACTGTATAGGCCCTTTCCAACAGCCTTGGTCGTCCCTTTGCCGAGGATCCCATGGCTGTGTCCATGGCCCGAGATGAGCTCTGATGCTACAGAAGGCCAAGGACCACAGCACCACAGGGAGCCACAGTGAGTAGCCACTGTCCCAAACAATTCTGCGAGCCAAGAAAGTGTTCCTGCAAATAAGCATGCAGTAGGTTTGCACCAGGAGGCCAGCCAGGGCTTGTGTGCCATCCGAGGGGCTGGCGTCGAGTCGGAGAGCCTGAGTGGGTGGCTGTTCTTTGCAACTTTCCCTATATGTGTGATTTTGGATGGTTTCTCAAGACTGTGGTCAGCTGCAAAAGCTGGTTTGACAGGAAATTCTGAGGTAGGAACTCTTACCTCTCAGTGCTGGGTTATGGCATGGCCTCCTGCTCTTGTTTTCCTTCCTGCCTCAGGAGCAGGCTGGATGAGGCAGAGGGGTAGGTGAGATTGGTCCCACTGAGCCCTCTGCAGTGTTGCCTTGCTCTTGCCCTCTAACTGGGTCAGTAAGCAGTCCTTTCTCTTTCGGTTCAAGAATGGTCTTCAAAATCTACTTCCTCCAGGAAGTGTTCCTCGACCATCCTATGTCCCCTGCCTCCCCTGGAGTCTCCTGTGCCACCCAGAACTACATGATTCTCAGGGGGTACACTTGATCTTGTGCCTGGTGCCAGTCCTTTCTCTCTGTCCTTAGGTTTTGCCATCCCAGTTCAGGGGGCACAGACATTGGGTTGCTTATTTACAGCTGTCCCTGAGCCAGATCCATAAGAAGCACTGGGTTAAGTCTTTGTGGTTAAGGTGGTCTTGCTGAGAATTTTTTTTCTTTTCTCTCCCTCCTCCCTCTCTGTCTATCCCTTCCCTGTCACCCTCTCCCTCCCCCTTCCTCCCTCAATCATTGTCACTCCATCACCCCCTTCTCTCTTTCCCTGCCCTACAGGATATTCCTACGTAGCTCAGGCTGGTCCCAACTCTCCAACCCTCCTATCTCATCCTCCTGCCACCATATCCAGCCACATTTATTATTCTCATTTGCTCTTCACGGCCGCCTGTTTAAAATGGGTTAAATTCTCCCTCCCCAGTGGATGCAAATGCTGAGGTTCAGAGTAGTCAAGTGATCGACACTTTCTATTTCTCAGCTCACCAAGGCTAGGAAACCATTGATTTCATTCAGATCACTGGTGCATGCTAGCGTGTTAAGGGGACTTGGTGAGCTGGAAGGTTCATGTAGCAGTGTGTGGAAGTGCGGTGAACCAGAAGGAGAAGGGGAGCTTGCAACAATGAGCAGTTTGCCTAGGTAGCTCTAGCTTTTGTTGACAGGGCAGAGAGCCGGCTACTTTAGAAGGGTCCTCTGGTACAAGAAGCCTATTCTGCCCATCACATGCATAAAACACATCAGAATTGGATCTTTAAACTGTGCTTTGTCAGAGTGCTGACAATCTGGGGAGTCAGAATGAAGTCTGCCTCAGCAACCCTTTCTCTCTCTCTCTCTCTCTCTCTCTCTCTCTCTCTCTCTCTCATGGAGAACCAGGACAAAGGCAACAAATCAATTCAAAGTTTAGTCTTGTCCTCAGGTCTGGTGGGTCTTGTTTTCATTATCCATTCACACCCTTCCTCGTAGCAGGGGAAAGCTTTGTAAACACCAAAGCCATTTACTTAACTTTGCGTTCCTTCTTACCCATTTGGGTGATGTCTAGATGGAAGCTTAACCAGAACAAACGGTGAGCAGTGCACGTGTGCTAAAATGCTTCCGGCATGCATGTGTAGACTCCTTCCTACACAGTGATGTCCAAACGCGCTCCTAGAGCATGCGCTGTTCCCCTCCACTGTGTCCATATCACAGGTGTAGTTGGGTATCAGGCAGCAGGAAGTGGCTCTGAGGGGGAAGGAAGGGGTAGGAAGCGGTAGGAAGGGGTGAGGTCGTGAGCAAGGAGAGCCCTTTCTCCTGCTAGCTTCCTGGGTGTCCTCCAACAGCCCTTCGCTTTTCTTCATCCTTCTGTGATGCTGTGTCATCCCGGGAATCCCTTCCTCCTTGATGCTGTGTCATCCCGGGAATCCCTTCCTCCTTCGTAGGACCTCAAGCTGCGCTGCTAGTGAGATTTCCTAGACATTTCTGTAGGCACGGTCCAGCTACAGGACACACACTGATGGCTCTTTCCAAACAGGATATTTCTCTTGAGTAACCTGCTTTGGCTGCTGCTCCCATTGTCTGCTTGGCAGGGCGGCAGTGAATCGCGTAGCTGTGTCTTCTTGCTTTTTACGGATTATGTCTAGTCCTCAAGCCTAACAGCGCCTACA